GTGTTTTCAATCGCCTCATATACATTCGAAAGCTGAACAATGAGTAAGGAAGACCAAAGAAGAATTGATGCCTTTGAATTATGGTATTGGCAAAGAACACTGAATATACCATGGACTGCTAGAAGAATGAACAAATCTGTCTTGGAAGAAGTACAGCCAGAATGCTCCTTAGAAGCGAGGGTGGACAGACTTCCTCTCACGTACTTTTGACGTGTCATCAGGAGGGACCTGTCCCTGGAGGCGGAAATTATGCTTGATAATGTAGAAGGTCAGAGAAGAAGAAGAAGACCCTCAAAGAGATGGATTGACATAGTGGCTGCAACAATGGGCTCAAACATAGCAAGGATTGTGAGGCTGGCACAGGACCAGGCAGTGTTTCGTTCCATTGTGCATAGGGTTGCTATAAGTTAGAACTGTCTTGGCAGCACCTAACAACACAACATGTGGTCTGAACACAATATAACTAAATTAAAAATCAGTTACAGAAAAATATCTGGAAAATTACCAAATATTTGAAAATTAAAGAACTCACTTCTAAATAAACCTTCAGTCAAAGAAGAAATCACAAGGGAAATTACAAATTATTTGGAATGAAATGAAAATAAAAACACAAAATGTCAAAATTTATGGGATACATCTAAAACAGTGCTTACAGGGAAATGTATTGCTTTAAACATTTATGTTAAAAAATAACTGCCTAGTATAAGTAATCTAAGCTTACACCTTATAAGCCTAAAACAAAAAAGAGCATATTAAACTCAGTAGAAGAAAGAAAATAATAAACATTAAAGCAGAAATCAATGAAATACAAAAAAGTTATATATACCAAAATCCAAACCAAACCCACTGTGTCTGAGTCAATTCTGACTTATAGCGACCCTATAAGACAGAGTAGAACCGTCCCATAGAGTTTCAAAGGAGCGCTTGGTGGATTCAAACTGCCGACCTTTTGGTTAGCAGCTGTAGCTCTTAACCACCACTCCTCCAGGGTTTCCTTTGTCTCTCTCTCTCTATATATATATATAGCCAAAAGCTGGCCCTATGAATAGATGAAGAAATTGACAAACGTCTACCTACACCAATTAAGTAAAAAGGCGGATGACACAAACTACTAATATCATAAATAAAAAATGGATCACTATAGACTCTATAGATATTGAAAAGATAATAAGGGGATATTATGAACTATAAATTTGACAACTTAGGTGAAATTGACAAATTCTTGTAAGACACAAATTACCAAAACAGACTCAAAAAGAATAGATAACCTGGATACTTCCATATCATTGAAAATAATTGATTTTTTTATTTAAAATGTTCCCACAAGGGAAACTACCCAAGTTAAATGAAGAAAATTCTCCACGCAAACACTTGTATACTATTTTTTATAGCAGCATTGTTCATAATAGCGAAAAACTGGAAATAGCTCCAAAATCCCATCATCAGAAAAATGGATTAATTATGGTATATTCATACAATTGAATGTTGTTCAGCAATAAAAAAGCTACTGATACATGCAACATGCTAAATTTCAAAAACATGCTAAGTGAAAGAAGCTAGACTCGAAAATTACACACTGTATGATTGCATTTGTATGAAATTCTAGAAAAGGTTATAGTTATCAATAGTTGCTAATCAATAGTTGCCTGAGGCTGTGGGTAGGAGAGAATTGACTGCAAAAGGACAGGAGAGTAGTTATGGGAGTAATCATTCTATATCTTTATTGTAGTGCTGTTTATACAATTATACATTTGCCAAAACTCATTGAACTATACCCTTAAAATGGACAGATTTTATACTATGTAAATTATACCTCAATAAAACTAAAAAAGAAGAAAAGAAAGAAAAAGAGTCATTTAGATGATGAGAGGCTGGAGGGCTACATGTAGTATCCCAAATGGTAAGATTTCCATGGTGGCAGTATGAATCTTTGTTTTCACATTTTGTGAAGTTTGTGTGATGTGACCCTTTCATATAGTACCCATTATTTGGTAAAAATTTGGTTATATACATGAGCCTTGCTTGGGAGATGGATTCAAGGACATGGGAGGGACTGCACCCTATATTAGTGTACCTGTCTGGTGGAATATAAAGGGAGTGAAAGGAGAGAAAAACAAATTCAGCAGAGAGAAGGAATCCAAACAGAGTAGACCATGTAATACACCCCGGAATGTAAGGAAAATTGTGGAAGTTAATTTTTGTCTTAGTTTTATAATACATTGGGTAAGATTTGGATCAATTACTTGTATATTTTAAAAGAGATGGAAAAATACAGCTAATATGTGCATTTCAACTACAAAAGTTATGAGTTTCTACAATGTTACTTCAAAGAAATTGTTCTTTAGTCACTGTGCCTGCATGTAAGGTGACTAGCTCCAATTGATAGTGTCTCTCACTTTAAAGTGGGATAGACAAAATAGATTTATTTCAGGTGGGGATTAGTGGGAATGATATGTGTAACAAATCCTTATTCACATTTATTACTTACAAAAAATGTATTTATTTGGGAAATATATAAAACTCTATTTTCATAATATCTTTGCTAATGACAAATATTCATATTAGATTAAATTTAAAAAGCAAAATAAACTAACATGTACCAATCAATGGCTTTTATCAATAATCTGTTGAGGGAATTTATTAAGACATCCACTGGATGCATCAAGTTATTTTCAGAGCCTAGTTCTATCTGCCTCAGATAGTAGATACTCTAATACTACTTCATCTAATTATTTCCAGTTTATGGTGCTAATTTCTTGGTGGCCTGTAAATCACAATCTTATAAATTATTCCCACTATCTATACACTTCTACCCGCCTAGAAAAAATAGAGAAACGTGAGAAGCCTACCTCTGCTGCATTACTTGAGAGTCTCTCCCAGCTATGATTCATCTATCTTATTAACTACCATTGAACCAGTCCCATTGCTGTGGAGTTGATTCCAACTCATAGCAACACTACAGAACAGAGTAGAACTGCCCTGTAGCATTTCCAAGGCTGTAAATCCTTAAGGAAGCAGACTGCCACATCTCTCTCCCAAGGAGCGGCTGGTAGGTTCAAACTGCCAACCTTTTAGTCAGCAGCCAAGTGTTTAACCTCTGCACCACCAGGGCTCCTTTATCTACCACTAAAGTGGTAATTTAAAGACATGGACGAATTTTCCTTTCAACATTAACAAGTAATCATATCCAGCAAGGAACAGTATGTTTAAAAGAAAAAGCTTAAGATATCTTCAATATGTTGCTGTTATGGATTGAATTGTGTCCCCCAAAAGCATGTGTTAACTTGGCTAAGTCATGATTCTCAGTAATATGTGATTATTCACCATTTTGTCATCTGATATAATTTTCCTATGTGTTGTAAATCCTACCTCTATAATGTTAATGAGGCAGGATTAGAGGCAGTTATGAGAATGAGTCAGGACTCAATCGATAGGATTAGGTTGTATTTTGAGTCAATCCCTTTTGAGATATAAAAAAGAGAAACCAGAAGAGAGACAGGGGGACCTCATACCACCAAGAAAGCAGTGCCAGAAGCAGATCATGTCCTTTGAACCGAAGTTTCCTGCGCTAAGAATCTCCTAGACCCGAGGAAGATTGATGACAAGGACCTTCCCCCAGAACCGACAGAGAGAGAAAGACTTCCCTTGGAACTGGCACCCTGAATTTGGGCTTCTCTCCTAAACTGTAAGAGAATAAATTTCTCTTTGTTAAAGCCGTCCACTTGTGGTATTTCTGTTATAGCAGCACTAGATAACTAAGACACTCACTAAGTAAACCAATGAAAGCATATTCTGTTTGGTATGGTTCTGTTTCAGTTAATAGCATCATCTTCCAGCAATTGTTTTATTTTTCAAGATTTATGATCAAATTTCTTATTTTGTTTCAGGTTTTATAAAGCTACCCTTATTTATTAGCATTGTGTCTAACGACAAATTGAGTTATGTATATATACATCACTTTTGATCTTACATTGCCATTTCCTCTGCTAAACAGTGAGTTCTATTCAACAGAAAGAGTTATATTCATCTATATTACCAAAAACCCCACAATATGGGAGAGAGTAGATGCTCAATAAAGTTTAGCTAATAGAGTGATAATCAGATTATTAAATGGATGGATGAACAAATGAACCATTTTGAAGTTATACTTGTTTATACTGTTTTATGTGACAAGTATACCGACTCACAAAATACTCATATGATTTATCATCTCGAAAAAAAGTGTATTTTAGCCAAAAAATTGTCATATATCCCTTCACCATACACTAAGTAATGCTATTCATTATTTTTACCATTTTGTCTTTGCTATGATAGCAGTTTTTGCTAAATTTAGTGCCTGTTAACTGTCCAAAAACTCGATTTGTCTATGTTTTTGCTATATTGCCCCCTCTCTTTCTGTAGATATTAATGATTAGTGCATAAATTAGCATATTGCTAATATTATTTTTAAAATATCTCAAGTATTTCAAATATTTTTAAATAATCTCTTCATAATTACATACACACACATTTATGTTAAAAGACCAGTCCTTAATTGGTATGGAAACTAAATACAGAATTTTATGAAAACTAAAGTGGTACTAATCTAGGCTATGTATAAATGATATTTCAGAATTCACCAATAAAAAGAACAAGTTTGGGGCTGAACCCCGGAATGTAAGGAAAACTGTGGAAGTTAATTTTTTGTCTTAGTTTTATAATACATTGGGTAAGATTTAGATCAATTACTCGTATATTTTAAAAGAGATGGAAAAATACAGCTAGTATGTGCATTTCAACTACAAAAGTTATGAGTTTCTAAAATGTTACTTCAAAGAAATTGTTCTTTAGTCACTGTGCCTGCATGTAAGGTGACTAGCTCCAATTGATTGTGTCTCTCACTTCTTCTAAGTGCTTAGTGGGCTGTAGACCAAGAATAAATCTCAGAGGAACCATCTTCCCAGATGGACAAGACCCTCCAAAGAAAAATTGTAGGAAACCTGATTTCTCTGTCACATGTCTTAATCCCACCTCATTAGTCTCTTTACTGCCCCTCTTACATCTTTGTTCCTGAGGGTATAGATTAGTGGGTTAAGGCTAGGTGTGACAACAGTATAAAAGAGGGCAATGAACTTGCTTTGATCTTGAGATGTCCCAGTTGATGGCTGGAGATATATGCACATAACTGGAATAAAAAAGAGGGATACAACCATAAGATGGGCTCCACATGTCCCAAAGACTTTCTGAAATCCAGTTGTTGACTGCATTCTCAGCACAGCCCGGGCAATGGCACCATAGGAGCTAAGAATGAGAATAAGTGGTATGATTATAAAAATGGAGCTCATGACCATGAGGGTCAGTTCATTAGCATGGATGTCAACACATGACAATCGAAGCAGTGCTGGAACTTCACAGAAAAAGTGATCCACTTGGCGATGTCCACACAAGGGAACCCAGTAGGTAAAGGAGAAATGAAGTGCTGAGGCAGTTAAGCCACTTACCCAAGAAGCTGCAGCCAACTGGTGGCAAAAATGAGGGTGCATGAGGACAGTGTAATGCAAGGGTCTACACACAGCTGCATAACGGTCATAGGACATCACCACCAGTAGGACACACTCTGTGGTTCCCAGTGCAAGGACAAAGTAGAGTTGAATCATGCAACCAATATAAGAGATGGTCTTCTCAGGACCCCAGAGGTTGACCAGCAACTGAGGGATGGAGCTGGTGGTATAGCAGAGATCCAGAAAAGAGAGGTTTGAGAGGAAAAAGTACATGGGAGTGTGGAGATGGTAGTCCAAGTATGACAGGTTAATGATGAACAGGTTGCCAATCAGTGTCATCAAGTAGAATATCAAGATAACCACAAAGAGAACCACCTCCAAATGAGGCCAATTAGAAAAACCCAGTAGAATAAAGTAGCCTTCAGAACTTGCATTTTTTTCCATTATCATTCATTTTCTGTGACCTGAAGAAAAAAAGCATATAAACTCAAAGGCTGCCCCCACATTGTTAAATCCTTCCAAACAGATTAGGAAAGAAATTTATGCCACTTCCAAGTATAATAGTGTGTTCCATTGTGGCAGTAAAATTTTTTAGTTTTCTTTTTATGTTTCATTTGGTATTTGTGCTGTTGTAGAAAGAATCAATAACTTCTCATTCCTTAGTTTTCATTGGGACAAATGAAAATTAAAGATATTCCATAGCAAAATAAAAAAAAAATCATTTTCATGAAAAATAATCTTTTACCAAAGAAACCTTATATTTATCGCCCTTTTCCACATTTTTGGGCTATTTCCAATTTCATGATTACAGAGAAAGGAATAACTGCAGTCTTAATAATTCTACATATAGTGGAAAGTTCACCATATGATGAAAAACAATTCAGTAGTAACTTAAAAATGTTAATATTGGATGAAAAAATTCAACTTCAATTGGATATGATCATAGAAGAACAAAATATTCTGATTTGTTTATTTATGCTAACAATTTATTTCTTGACCAAAAAAAATTTTTAACATGCAAATGAAGATATAAACAGACACACACACACACACACATCCCAACTTGTGAGTACTCCCAGGATAAGCAAAGCTGAAGGTCTTAGTCCTGATGAATAGAGAAGTGAAATAGATTGGGGATATCAGTGATGGAATGCTTCCAAAGGAAAAAGAGAATATAACTAAATTTGAAAAGCAAAAAAATTACAGAGTGGAAGAAAAATGTAGGGAGAGGAGAAGACAAGAAAGGAGGATGCTTGAATGCAGGAAAGAAGCAAACAAACAAAAAAACCAAACCCATTGCCGTCAAGTTGATTCCGACTCAGAGTGACCCTATAGGACAGAGTAGAACTGCCCCATGGAGTTTCCAAGGAGTTCTTGGTTGATTTGAACTGCCGACCTTTTGGTTAGCAGCCGTAACTCTTAACCACTATGCCACCAGGGTTTGAAGAAAAGAGAAAATAGAGAAAAGAGGAGAGGAACTCTGATTGCAGTGCTTGGAGTTCAGAGTGTGTATATCACAGGGTTGTGAGGCCTGGACAACAGAGTTTGAAGATAGATTCTGCATAATTTCATACACTCTATGTCAATAATTGAGGCCTTATTTAAATTCGGAGTCATAACTTACAATTGTTTCATATGTTTTGAGTTTCTAAAATTTGGAATGCAGCTTCTGAATATTAGTAAGACAACCAAAGATGTGTGAGCATTACAAGTTCATCTTGTGGTTTTTATTTTGTAAGAAAAATAAAGGTAAGAAAGTGAAATATGCACTAATAGTTTGATTTTTAGTTGATCCTTTTCTCTTGTGGATTGTCAATTGTTCACAGGAAAGAGAAACATTTTCATTTACTATATAGTTATTGCTATAAGAAGGAGCTCTGATGGCACAATGGTTAAGAGCTCAGCAGCTGGCCAAAAGTTTGGCTGTTGCGGAAGACCTGGGAATCTGCTCCCATAAAGATTACAGCCTAGAAACTACCTTACAGAGCAATTCTACTCTGTCACATGGGGTCGTTATGAGTCAAAAATCAACTCTATGTCACCTAACAGCAACAACCATTGCTGTAAGGCAAAGTAATCCTCATTTAAATATTTCTAAATACCTTTGCCATGTCACTTTTGCTTCCTTTTCTGTCACCTTCATTCCTTCATCTCATATTCTGTAGTGGGATATGGCAAAACTTGACCATAGCAGATTCACCTGCAGGCATCTCTTTTGGGGGACTCTTAATTACTCAAATATTGTAATCTTGACTCTTAAAGGAGATTTAAGAGGTAGCTAATTGGTTGAGTTACAGCTGGAGACCTAGGAATGTTAATTTGACCCAAGGCTGTGTGACTAGTTCAGGGAGACACAAATATTTCTATACAGTCTCTAATTCTAATGTTATTGGTAAAGTAAATAACCATTAATTTACTGTTACAATAGTTTATACTATTTTCTATAGTTAAGAAATCATCCAGGATAATTATCCAGCACTCTGCTTTTAAAATAAATTTTTTTGTGAAATAGTAAATTGTGAAGATTCCTTCAACTTGCTATGAGTTGGAATCAACTCAATAGCATACAGCAAAAACAACCTTTTGAATGGTGATGGAAAAATTCCAAGGGATTTTTTTTTTAATTGCCCTAAAATGGGAGACACTACATCACAAAAAATAAATGAACCTAAGTGTTATGGTACTTACCCTGATGCAGCCATAATTTTCTTCCCTTATACAGTGTCAAGACCCATCTTTCAACATTCTTCTAGAGGTAAAAAGCAATAGGAGATAAGGGACAAAATAAATAAATACAGGACTCATGTAGAGAAAAGTTAGGAGCTTTCTGGTTTGATATTCTTCTCAGTGGAAAAGAGGGAAATAAAGTCTCTAACAAAGTGAACTGTGGAATAAAATAACCTCTTTTTTAAATCAAACATTATGGAATAAATGGATGGCTTAAGCTTAACACTCTCTCCTTGCTCCCGTTATTACTAATAGACTTTTTTTTCCCCTAATTTTAGTCATATTATTCCTTTATACTTTCCTTGGTTCTTAAGCAGGGTGCCATCAACTTCTTTCAGTACAGACCTTCCTGTGTTTGTCCATGATGCTTGTGATTCTCTTTCTCATCTACAACTTCATCATGTATAACCGATGTGGGGCTCTGCAGTTATCAGGCAACTTGGAAACAACAACCCAATTGCCTTCCTATATCATCTTTTCTAATATACCACATCTAACTATGGAAAACAGAGTCTGAGAATCATTGTGGTTATCACTGCCACAGAAGAAAGAGCTTGGGTCTGTCCAAAAGATTTGCTTTTAGCAGAATGTGGGGACTCTTTAGGGCATTCAAATTATCAGGGGATGAACCCTTTATCCTAGAACAAATGGGACCTTTATGGAAACAAATGAACTACACAGCATGCTTTCGTTGACTGGGGCCCTTGGGAGGACAAATCCCAAAGTGGCAATTAATGCCTTCACGGAGATGTCCTGGTTAGAATGGTGTAATTTTCACAAGATAAAACTTCACAAAAATTCATTCAATGTGATATTGAACTCATCCTGAGATGAAAATGAATTTATTGATCAACTGGCATAAAAAGAAGTGTTTCGAGTTGTATTGACAATGACAGGGATGAGTTGTACTGAGTCACCTTTTTTTTTTTTTCTGCCCACTTCCCCATGGAGCTAAATCCCAAATTGATACCTCAACTGGTTATATGTAGAGGAAGTTTGGAAGCCAAGAAACAGAAAAAGAAACACGTGGAACACGTGAAGAGTAAACTGCGTTAATATCATTAACGTTGCAGTCTTTCAGCACCTCTCTGCACCGTGTGTGCCTTCCTGGGTGTCGTTTAAAATCTAATTCCAAGTTTATCTCTGCAAATCCAAATGTCACTCAAACCTTTTATACTGAACACTTAGGTGGCCTGTATTAATTTTGTTTAATATTCAAAAATCTTCCATTAACAACTTCCTTGATCTCTTGTTAAAATCTCTGTCGGGAAGAACTTTTTGTTACTGGAGCTGCAGCTTGCATTTTTTATTGCTTGTCTACCTCCTCTTTGGAGCCTGGTGGCACAGTGGTTGAAAGCTACAGTTGCTAACCAAAAGGTTGGCACTTCAAGTCCACCAGCCACTCCTTGGAAACCCTATGGGGCAGTTCTATTCTGTCCTATAGGCTTGCTATGAGTCGGAATCAAATCGATGACAAGGGGTTTGGTTTTTCATTACCTCACTTAAGTCTAACAGTAGCCACAGATGTTAAGTAGAAAATCTTAAGCTTGTGCATTCCTTCTTTCTACTGCAAATGTTGCCTGTGCTTTAGCACTAAGAGCAAAATTCTTCTGATTTGCCTTTCACATCTTTACTCTTTGTCTAATTCTATTTGGTTTTGCGTACTGGCTTCAGATTTTACACTGGTTCTGAAATGCCCTCCCTAATAATAAGAGCAAACACTTATAATGTACTTTATATGAGTTGGGTACTATTTTAAACACTTTACATATACTGGTGCTTTTAATCCCCATCATACCCATCATAGTACTATAATGTATACCATACCAGTTGCCACTGAGAATACTCTGACTCATGGCAACCTCTTGCGTGTCAGAGTAAAAGTGGGCTCCATAGGGTTTTTTTTTTTTAAAAAAAAAAAAAAAGCAAAAAGAAAGTTTTATTTGGCATATATTCAAAAAGGCAAAAGTTGGAAGCAAAGAACCATGCTGCCAGAGCCATGTCTGCCCGAGTCCAAAGAAATATCACAGAACAGACAAAAGTGGGAAAACGGACAAGCATGCTGCTAGAGCCATGTCTGTCCAAGTCCAAAGAATATTACAGAATAGGCAAGAATGGGAAAACAGACAAGCATGCTGTTAGAGCCATGTCTGCCCTAGTCCAAAGGCCATTACAGAGTCATCAGTATACATTAACGTTACAAATGGGCAAAACCATTGAAAGCTTTGCCTTTTCAAATCGGCTAGAAACTGCGATCCTACATTTTGAATTGTCTTTCTTAAAAATCATTGGTACAGGTTTCAGTAACGACAGCCAGGAGGGTCTTCATTGGTCCAACAAATTTTCTATTCACTAAATGCTAATAGAAAAAGAGTGAAAAGTAAAGTTTCCCTAAAAGATATTTTTCTTCCCTAAAAGATAATTTCCAAGATTGTCTTAGCTATTGTCTTTATACCTCAGGGCCCAGTTGATGTGTCCTTGTGAATTCTTTTGAGCCCAGCTCCAGCTGGGTCACATTCTCTATGCTCAAGGACAAGGAATAATAACTCCAATACTATTTCCTAGATCTTTCCTTCCTTTTGATCAGAGATTGGAGATAACACATCGATGATCAATACCTGGACTTAGTCGAGCTCCTAGATGGTGACCATGGCAAGTTCTTCAAACTCATGGCGCTGGTTTTCCACCACATACCATCTGGTTCTTCACCAGATTATTAAGTAAGAG